GTAAGACTTGAGTCATTTCCTAGCTTCACTAACTCTCTGAAATCATTATCGAATTCAACAGATATGTCTCTTCTACCACACATATGGTTGCTACACCCAAAATCAAAAAACCAAATGTACTCCATCTCAGCCTTCTTGAAATCCACATGCGCCATCAACAACATCTCTTCTTTTGTCTCGGCGTAGTTTGCCTTTTGATCCATTGCTTTCTTTGGACATTCCCACTGAAAATGCCCTAGCTCATGACAGTTATAGCATTCTATAGTAGATTTGTCAAACCCGAATCGACCCCCTCCTCTTCCTCTTCCATGATAGTTACTACGACCTCCGCCTCTTCCTCCTTGCTGGGCTCCATAAGTGACTTGCAGTGCTTGTTCATCCACAACAACATGTCGGCTGATTCTTTGTTCATGAACCAACAAGCTACTCTGAAGTTCATCTATGGACAAGGCATCCAAGTCATTCGATTCCTTAATCGAACGTACAACGTAATGATATTTCGAAGTCATAGACCTCAAAATCTTCTCAATGATCACCACATCTTTCATTCTTTCTCCATGAATCCTCATTTTGTTAGCTATGATGAGAGTTCTTCCAAAGTAGTCGTTGACTGATTCCCCAGCCTTTATCTGCAGCACTTCAAATTCTTTACGAAGAGCTTGCAATTGGGCACATTTGACACGTGTTGTTCCTTGATATTTCTACTTCAAAGAATCTCATATGTCCTTCGCAGTATCCTTCTTCAATATTGTCTCCAAGATTGAACGATCCATGGCTTGGAACAGATAGTTCTTCGCCTTCAAATCTTTCAGCTTCTGATCTTCGATCACTTTCTTTTGTGTTTCACTTGAATCAGCTCCATCTGATGCTGCAGTGATCCCTGTCTCCACTAAGTTCCAATACTCTTTGGAACGTAGAAAATTCTCCATTACCATACTCCAGTGATCATAGTGTCCATCAAACCTCGAAATGGGCTCTCGGTTTCCATGTCTTTTGTTCCTTCACGCTAGTGACTGTGTTGCAGGCTTTCATCAGGCCCCAGTGATGGTGCTCTGATACTAGATGTTAGAACCAACAGATGGCAAAGAGTTTTTGTAAATTCAAAGTCTGTTTATGCTAGAAAATTGGGAGAATACTCAATTAGATTGAATAACACTTGTGGTTGTTAAATAGCCTTACAATGAAATAAGAAAGGAAATAACAATCCACGATTTTACATGACCTAGAATCATGGTACATGACTAAGTCAGAGAGAGAAAAACAATCCTTGTCCCTCAAGTATAGGAGGGATTATTTGCACGGTTTGAATTAAATCCTAGAAACAAGGAATCCTAATCCTAACGGCTAGGAAATCCCAACAACTTTATCACCTAGAACCTAGTTTTTTTATTTTTTATTTTTGGTGGGAGAAGGATTGAGACTTGAACCTTTGACCTCAAGAAGACAAAATTTTTGTAAGGTAAGAAGTATCATTTTACTAAAGACTCATTGGTCTATAACCTAGTAAAAGGTGTTATTTTTATAATAACCTTAATCTTTTTTCCATTTCAATAATAAACATGCACTTTGCATATATTTTATATTGCATTGCTCCTTTTTGAAAAATGAACAAAAGGTTCTTTGAGAATGAAATGGTTTCTTACCTTTTTACAAGTCATTCAAACCTAAACTTTTAAGTCAAGGTAATTTAAGTGGTAATAGAGACGAATTGTAAATTTAGTCGTCCTGAGTTCAGATCTTGACAACCCCTTGAGATTAAACCATGAAAAATTTATTCCTTATGAATACTCTAATTTTAGCGTGGATGATATGTCTTTAACCAGACCAGAAAAAAGAATTAACCAAGATGCGCGTAATTGTTCTAAACACCCTTGACCATTAAACAAAAAAAAACCCTAAACCTTCACCTGTTTCCCTATTAATACCTCTTGCAATATTGCTCATTATCCATCAATATTTGCATTGCACAATAGGAACAAAGCAAATTAAATGGGGTGGTGCAAAATTTCACTACCTCTTGTTTTTCTCATGGCCTTTGCTATCTTTCATCCCTCTCATGCCCAAAACTTGCCACGAGTCTACCTCAATGCTCACAATGCGGCTCGAGCCGAGGTGGGCGTCAGTCCTATGAGATGGAACTTGACCATAGCTCGCTATGCCCAGAACTATGCAAGAAAGAGGATCGGCAACTGCAGCCTCGCGAATTTCAGTGGGGACTTTGGGGAGAACATAGACAGGGGTTCCGACGATTCCTTCACCGGTGGGATGGTGAGAAGCCTAATTATGACTATAACTCAAACTCTTGTGTTGGGGAAGAGTGGCAATATACTCAGCTTAGGTGGTGTGGCGTATCTCAATTCGTCTCGGGTGCGCTCGTGTTTGATGCAAAAATGATATGTGGTTCGTTACATGTAACTATGATCCACTTGGTAACTATGTTGGATGACGTCCAAATTGAAGATGTTATCTTGATGTTGTGCATGATTTACTGGTAATTATGTACATCTGAGATTTGCGTTAAATAGCCATATACTTTCAAAAAATGTATTCTTGTAGTTGCAAATGTAGTTCCTTTTGGCATGTTAAAACTCACTCTATTTTTGTGATAATTGTTAAAGAAAACTAAATATGTGAGAATTTTGAACCAGTTTTGTCAAGGAAGTAATTACCGAAGTGATTTTAGTAACATATCAAAAATTACGTTATGACTTATTAGGGGTTAATTATAATTTTTTTTTTCATATTTCGATTGATTAAAAGTCTAGGTATAACTCAAAAAAATTGTATTGATATTAAAATATTGAGATTGAATTTAGGCAAAATCATCTTGACTCGATTTTATATAATAGTTGAATCATAATCTCATCGAATCTAATCATAAACTTATAGTAATCTTTTAAATTGTGCTGGTTAGCTTATGAGAAATGTTGGTCTTTTGCTTATTTTTATATGATGAGATTCAATACTTTCAATACCATACCAATAAAAAAATAGTAATTATAGACTTTTAGTTAATTTTATAAATATTAATCGTGATAATAATAAAACGTTGCATGGTAAAACAAAAATATTTTACTCTTCTCAATTTTAATTAATAAAAACTTAAAGGTTAATATAACAAAAAAACATCCCTTCCACCGTGAATTTTTAGAGTATTTTAGTCCCCTTAGAAGTCTGCTAGTAAAGAAATGGCCTCCCAATAGAAATCTTTTTTTGGTAAGTCTTCAATAGAAATCTTCTTTACATATATAATCCCTTTAATCTAATAAACTATTTAACCAAGCACTTACCAATCTAATAAACTATAATCGCTATATGTGGGCCCTTTAATCTACGTCGCATAGTCATTTGTCTTTGTGCCCAAGATCAGGCCAAAATTAATCCAATCTCTATTTTTAATTCTGTTTATTTAAAATTTTCAAATTTTAACGAATTTTAGAATTAGAAGAAGTGCAATATCAATGTGTTAATTTATGCGGCATATTTAAAAATATAATAATATAATAATAATTTTTATTAAATGCGTACTTCTAGTTGTGAAAATAAACTCTATCATATAGTTGTTTTTATGTGATACTAGGGATAATCTATACCTGAAGGTACGATATAATGTGAATAGTTTTGATAATGAATGTTAGTGGCTATCGGATAAGTCTATTTGAGACCGTTGGATGAACTTTTTGTAATTTGTTTTATTTTATGTTATAGATTTAATAACATTTATTTTTAGTCAAAAAAATATAATATATCTGTGGAGTTTATCGAGATGGGATTATATTATTTGAGCTCTATTAGCCAAAATTTTTGCACCTAATACTTGGCCCCTCAAAGATAAAATTTTGCCTCCGTCTCTATTTCTTAGTTATTTTAATTGTGAAAACATACAAAGACAAACAACATGAGCTGTGGACGATCACATAACAAACACGTGAATTTGCTTCTGTTTGTTCTAACGAGTGAAATGGGCGGAGTAATTTTATTAATATAATTGAAATGTTAAATTAAAATAATTAAAAGTTTTAGACCATTTTAAAATTGAAGGTAAAGTTTATGGACCAATTTCGATATTTAACATTGGCTTTTTTGCACTTTATACCCTAAATTTTCTTAAGTTTCTCACTTTATATTCTTAAAAATTAAATTTTTTATATTGTACCCCTAATATATCAAAAATATTATAATATAAATAAGAGCCTTTTGTTAGCTTCTATTATTTTTTTTGTCAAAAATCAATCTTGTTGACCAAAATTAATAAAAGGGTTGTATTATAGTATTTTATACATTAAAAATATAAAATGAAAATTATAATTTTTTTGAGTATAAAGTAAAGAATTTAAAACTTTTTAAGGTACATAACATTTCTGTATTGTTACGGTCTTGCACAGAGCTTTTGACCCATTCCAAGTGAATTTTAAAAAAAAATTTCAATTGAGGGTTGGTTTGAAAATAATTTCCAAACTCAGAAACTTTAAAACTCGTCAATACCAACTGACGCCTTTTAAAGTTGGACATACACATTCCAGGAAGGTTAAAAACGTCAGTGCCAGCGATGGATTGATATATTTTGTTTCATGTGTTGGTTACATGTCAACACAGGCTTGTTCATTCCTATATTTTATAGATGGTCAGTCAATCCAAACGGTGGTGTCCTTGAATCTCTCGGATACAAGGAGAGTTATAGAGTTGATGTTGATACACCAGAAGGAACTTGGGTAGAGGCTGCCAGTTTCCACGATATTCTCATCTTTAACACGGGACACTGGTACATTATTCCTCTAGGATCCTATTTCATGTAGACTACGTTGCTGGTTGCTGGCATGTAAATTAAGAACTTTCCTTTGTTTCGTTCTTTCTTTTTATTTTTATTTATTAATGCATACGTCTTGTTCATTGCTTAGTAAATTGAGTAGCAGATATATTTTAGCACCCAAGCAGATAAGTCATAAGTGTGAATCTACGACTGTCACAGAAAATTGTCTGTCATTTTTTGTATTTTTCCCGTTCTTGGGTCAAAATGGCTGGGATGGTCCTTAAGGGCCAAAGGAGAATGAGGGGCTAGCATCTTACACTAGTGATGTACAGCCTATTCATAATCAGATGATCATATCCTTGGCCACAGCAGTTAGTTTCATCTTCACGTGGCACTTCGATTTTTTTTTTTCACGTGGAACTTTGAATTTTTTCATCTTGATATTTTGGGAGGCTTAGATTTTTCTGACTTACAGGCAATTCTGTTCTTTTCAAGGTGGTGGGCTCCTTCAAAGTTTGACCCTGTAAAATCACCCATGCCTTTCTTTGAAAAGGGTTGCCCAGTGGTGCCTACAATACCGCCTGATGCTGGCCTTGATATGGTTATAAAGCACATGGTATGAATGACCTCTCTCTCGCCTACTTTCTCTCTAAATTCTGAATCAAATCTAAGAAATGCTCTTCAATAACAAGCCAATTTGCGGATGATACGACAAATAGACTTTACAGTTCTGGTCCATGTATGCCTTATTGATATGTCAAAGTATGCAATTGCTATTCATAGATGTAATGCCATAGTTGGATTTGTCTTCCCAAACTCAAGTATTTCAGGATAGGCTTCATGGATAAATTTGCCTCTACATCGGAAGTGATTTTACATTTGACATTCTCTCTTCTATATTTCTACTGCTTCAGGTATATAATCATATGGAAAAAAAAGATGCAACTCTCTCTGTTATTGGATGAAAGTGGTCTAATATTGTGTTTTAGAATAATTGTCAAATGACTTGTCAACGAGGGTGTAAAATATGTCCGGTTTTTCTTTCTGAAGTGTAGTGCTAGCTAGAAGGCATGCAACGCCTAATCAATGCCGAAAGAGCAAGGATGAGATAATACTAAAAATTCTCACCTCCCAAATATATGGATGAAATCGAATGGTCCAGATTGGCGGACTTTTATAAGTCACCCTGTTGACCCCTTGCAAGGCCTGTATGTGTGGTCCTAACTTGCTAGCCTTGTGTGCAAAATTTGGGGACCTAAAATATAAAATTCTAGCTTCAATTTGAATTATATTGCTGGTTACCAATGACTTGTGAAGGCTTTGCCTTTCTTGAGGTCAAGGTTTAAAGTTCTCCTCCCTTTCCCTCTCCCCCCAAAAAAATAAAATAAAATCATATTGCTGGCATTAATTCATTTTTTCATTTGCAATGACTGCAAGAATATGAAATGGTCAGACTGGTACAAGATAATGGAGAACTGTATAACCGTAAGTGAGCAAAACAACTATTTTCACTTGGTTTCAGTTGCTATTTTGAAAACATCTGCAATAACTTGGTCCAAAATTGATGCATCAAATAAGTGGAAATGCAGAAAATTTCTGTCAGTGGACTCTCCCAACAGCAATAGAAGAATGTTGTACCCATACATTTAGTAGGATCTTAGTTGTGTATATTTGCTCATTTATACGTTTAGTAGGGAAAAACCCGATCAAATACTAGTGTATTCTTTCGTACTCAATCCCCCAGACATTTTGAAGGAGGTGACTGGGACCAAGGTGGTTCTTGTCTGCGTTTACAACCTTTATCGCCTCAAAAGGTGAGTCTCCTTCTATGATTGAGGCTTTCAACAAGCAGTGTAGTTTTTCAATCAGAGTGGGAATCACATTGTATAAGATAGCTGATCCCAATGTGCTGGCTGGTTTGTTTACATGACTCTGCAACTTGTAAGGGAAAGTTCTGGTTTCATGCTTTGGTATTTCTCAGGTTGAGGAACTTTTCTCTTTGACAAATAATGGAACAAATGTGGAGGCACGCCTTATGAACCAGCACCTGTACAAGGCCCTTCAAGGTTCTGGTTTCCATATGTTGGACTTAACCCACATGAGTGAGTTCAGAGCTGATGCGCGTCCATCTACAGCTGGTGGAAAGAAACACGATGACTGCATGCATTGGTGCCTACCGGGAATTACAGATACTTGGAATGACTTACTCATACCGAATCTAGACAACATCAAGGTTGGGAATTGAAATGTTATTGTCATTTATTTTCACTTGGAAATTGCTTTATTTCTTTTCCATTGATATTTTTGTTTTATTCTAAGCCACCATGGTGGGTTTGGAATTCGGTCATATTTGGTTGTACCTAATTCATGTAGCAATGAGGTATATAGCTATTTATTTATATTGTGCCATAGCCAGTGTTTTACCCCACGTATAGATTGTATGGCTTGTAAGCGAGAGAGATGAGTAGAATCTGATTGTGTTTTTCCTAATGTTTGGACATTATGGAATATTTTTTTGGGAATTTCGCAACATTTGGGCAATTGTGACCAGATCCAAATTGAATTTATTCAGAACATCTCCAATAGTTTGTGCTATATTTTGTGTACCAATGTTACATTTTGGTCTTCTACGGTGCCAAAAGTGTGCAAAAACCGTGCTATTTTCTTTTGGCACCACAAACACCTGCATCCTCCAAGGAAAACTTATGGCGTTCTCTCAGTTGCTGATCTCGATTCTCACATTGACTTAAAGCGTTGGAGTCTCTCACCGTTACCTGTGCCACTATCCCTGATCTGTTTGGTTGTCTTGCAGGCCATAAACAAGTGCAAAGCTCCTCCGGACGATACCCTTTGAATGAATTTTGTACACATACTTTTTATTTGGAATTGATTTGAAGGCATGCTTTAAATAGCTAGGCCATGCTTAATTTTAAGATATGGTTGATAGCAAGAGAATGCTTGGTGGCAAGACCTGACATCCAACTCAATTAGGTCAATCCCTTGTTCGACTTGACGTTATATACCTCACTAATTCATGAAGACATGTGAGATATTAGTACAACCTAATTAGAATCAAATTATAATCACATACAATATTAGTACAACCAAATTTGATTTCTTGAAGGATGATGCAACGGATTTTTGTTTGGATTATTGGTTAAAATTCCAATCTATAGTTTGACTAATCGAATTTTAAATTTGGATCAAATTGAAATTTAATCCATTGATAGATCTATTCTCTCGCAATGTTTACTCAATGACTCCTGTAAGTAATGATCACCACCATCCTCTGGCTCATCAAAAGTCCCTTGTGGTAACTTTCCTTCAAATGCAAAATGGAGATAGGACTGTAAATTGGTTTCATAGTGTTATGTTTTTGAAATATGCAAGTAATGTGATGTTAAAAACTATTCAACTTATTTACAATCCATATATATTATCGGGTTTGTTTTATATTGAGTTCATGTCGTATATAAATTATGTTTAAGTCGGTTTCATACTATATTTACCTAAATTTCTATCAATTTTTTTACTTAATGGTCAAACAAATTCATCTATTTACAATATGAAATTTCTAAGATTAAATTTAATTTCTTATTGATTTCGACTCAAGTAGTGCAAGAAGTTTGAAAGGTTCAAGTCTTCATATTCTACTTGGAATTTTATTGATGGTGTTGGAAATTCATTGCCGTATGATGGCGGTCAGTTGCGAAGGGTTTTGGTCATGCGACGCAAGGGTAAAGTCCAAAACTGTCAAGAGAAGTATAAGTTCGTGGGCAAAATATACTTTAACCCCCGTAATTATGACTCCTACCTCATACTTTCGTCTCAATTGTAGTTAATATGTTTACATTGCCCCGATGACAAACTTGCATTACAAATTACACATAAAAATGTTGGGGTTTAACACTATGTGACATCAATTTATGTGATTGACAAAGTCCTGATGAACTGCGGCCGTAAATATAATGGTTCTAAGATAGAGAAATTTCTTGTTAGGACCCGCACGAAATTTGTAATGATCTGGGCTAGTAAAAGATTAGACATTTTACTCTTGTAAGTCTCCTCCAAACAAGTAAGTTGTATATTCTAAGAAAAATAGTAGAAATTAAAACGTGCAAGAAACGAAATAGCAATAAAACAGTAAAAATTTAGTTTCCTTCTAGGTAAAATAAAAATAAATACAATAGTAGGCCTTACAGTATTTGACACAATCCGTCAACATGACACGCGATTGATAACAAGATATCGTTTAATCTTAATAAGTTTTAGACCATATTTCAATTGATTTCAAACTCTTTTACTAAATTTGTTGATACAAAATGTACTTACAGATAATACAAAATCAATTATAAACAACTCAAGCTTGACAATTCAATTCCAATTATACATAATTATAAATGGTTGTATATGACAACTTCTAACACGATACGACTTATTTGATCATTCTAAAGTTACAGACAATTGATGTAACATATTTCCGATCGAAGTGGACTATACTATGTGGTGGCTTATGTTTCTTGGACTGATTTGCATGATGAGTGCTACTCACATTTGANAAGGTGGTGGGCTCCTTCAAAGTTTGACCCTGTAAAATCACCCATGCCTTTCTTTGAAAAGGGTTGCCCAGTGGTGCCTACAATACCGCCTGATGCTGGCCTTGATATGGTTATAAAGCACATGGTATGAATGACCTCTCTCTCGCCTACTTTCTCTCTAAATTCTGAATCAAATCTAAGAAATGCTCTTCAATAACAAGCCAATTTGCGGATGATACGACAAATAGACTTTACAGTTCTGGTCCATGTATGCCTTATTGATATGTCAAAGTATGCAATNATACTATGTGGTGGCTTATGTTTCTTGGACTGATTTGCATGATGAGTGCTACTCACATTTGAACATTCTAAACACATAGAAGCCACAGACATGTAATTTTATCTCATTTGTCACTGTCTTGCAGTTTTGCATAAATTCATGAATGGATGAAGGCAATAAATGTCGAACCTATTAATTATTTTTGGCAGAGAACTGTTCTAGACATATATTTTTAAACTCATAACTGTAACGTAAATTTAAAACGGACATAATTACTCGCAATGAACATGCGTCAGATTTTTTAAAGCATAATTCAAATTTCAAATCTCGAGATAATAAATNTCGGAAGTGATTTTACATTTGACATTCTCTCTTCTATATTTCTACTGCTTCAGGTATATAATCATATGGAAAAAAAAGATGCAACTCTCTCTGTTATTGGATGAAAGTGGTCTAATATTGTGTTTTAGAATAATTGTCAAATGACTTGTCAACGAGGGTGTAAAATATGTCCGGTTTTTCTTTCTGAAGTGTAGTGCTAGCTAGAAGGCATGCAACGCCTAATCAATGCCGAAAGAGCAAGGATGAGATAATACTAAAAATTCTCACCTCCCAAATATATGGATGAAATTGAATGGTCCAGATTGGCGGACTTTTATAAGTCACCCTGTTGACCCCTTGCAAGGCCTGTATGTGTGGTCCTAACTTGCTAGCCTTGTGTGCAAAATTTGGGGACCTAAAATATAAAATTCTAGCTTCAATTTGAATTATATTGCTGGTTACCAATGACTTGTGAAGGCTTTGCCTTTCTTGAGGTCAAGGTTTAAAGTTCTCCTCCCTTTCCCTCTCCCCCCAAAAAAATAAAATAAAATCATATTGCTGGCATTAATTCATTTTTTCATTTGCAATGACTGCAAGAATATGAAATGGTCAGACTGGTACAAGATAATGGAGAACTGTATAACCGTAAGTGAGCAAAACAACTATTTTCACTTGGTTTCAGTTGCTATTTTGAAAACATCTGCAATAACTTGGTCCAAAATTGATGCATCAAATAAGTGGAAATGCAGAAAATTTCTGTCAGTGGACTCTCCCAACAGCAATAGAAGAATGTTGTACACATACATTTAGTAGGATCTTAGTTGTGTATATTTGCTCATTTATTACATGCATTTCAATTATAGGTATCATTTTTGTAGGGAAAAACCCGATCAAATACTAGTGTATTCTTTCGTACTCAATCCCCCAGACATTTTGAAGGAGGTGACTGGGACCAAGGTGGTTCTTGTCTGCGTTTACAACCTTTTTCGCCTCAAAAGGTGAGTCTCCTTCTATGATTGAGGCTTTCAACAAGCAGTGTAGTTTTTCAATCAGAGTGGAAATCACATTGTATAAGATAGCTGATCCCAATGTGCTGGCTGGTTTGTTTACAAGACTCTGCAACTTGTAAGGGAAAGTTCTGGTTTCATGCTTTANTCTCCTAACAATACACGGTGGATAATTTATTTTGAATTTTTTCTTTGTATTATGTTTCAGCGTATGCTGTCACCGATTTTTTTTAAAAAAAATTATTTTGAATTTTTTTCTTATATTATTATGTTTAAGCGTACAGTGTTATTGTTTTTTTTTAATTTTTTTTAAAAAAATTATTTTGAATTTTTTCTTTATATTATGTTTAAGCGTACGGTGTTATCGAATTTTTTTATAATTTTTTTTNTTGACAAATAATGGAACAAATGTGGAGGCACGCCTTGTGAACCAGCACCTGTACAAGGCCCTTCAAGGTTCTGGTTTCCATATGTTGGACATAACCCACATGAGTNTTTGAATTTTTTCTTTATATTATGTTTAAGCGTACGGTGTTATCGAATTTTTTTATAATTTTTTTTAAAAAAATTATTTTGAATTTTTTCCTTATATTATATTTAAACGTAAAGTATTATATTTAACTGTAAAGTGTTACCCCTTTTTTTATTTTATTTTTTTAAAAATTATTTTTTATTATGTTTAAGCGTACAGTGTTACCGGNTGCATGCATTGGTGCCTACCGGGAATTACAGATACTTGGAATGACTTACTCATAGCGAATCTAGAAAACATCAAGGTTGGGAATTGAAATGTTATTGTCATTTATTTTCACTTGGAAATTGCTTTATTTCTTTTCCATTGATATTTTTGTTTTATTCTAAGCCACCATGGTGGGTTTGGAATTCGGTCATATTTGGTTGTACCTAATTCATGTAGCAATGAGGTATATAGCTATTTATTTATATTGTGCCATAGCCAGTGTTTTACCCCANGATATCACATATTTTTTTTTTCAGTCATGCTCATGTGGCTGTACAAATAAACAAGGACATGAATTGTTTTGGATTATAAGGTTATAATTGTCTTTTTTACATTGAATAGTTCACCTCACACTTTTTTAGGTAGGTATCACACAATTAATTTTTGTAACAAACAAATAAGAAGAAGAAAGTGATAAAAATTTAAGACTANGACATTTTACTCTTGTAAGTCTCCTCCAAACAAGTAAGTTGTATATTCTAAGAAAAAATAGTAGAAATTAAAACGTGCAAGAAACGAAATAGCAATAAAACAGTAAAAATTTAGTTTCCTTCTAGGTAAAATAAAACTAAATACAATAGTAGGCCTTACAGTATTTGACACAATCCGTCAACATGACACGCGATTGATAACNTTCTTTTGGCACCACAAACACCTGCATCCTCCAAGGAAAACTTATGGCGTTCTCTCAGTTGCTGATCTCGATTCTCACATTGACTTAAAGCGTTGGAGTCTCTCACCGTTACCTGTGCCACTATCCCTGATCTGTTTGGTTGTCTTGCAGGCCATAAACAAGTNTTTCAAACTCTTTTACTAAATTTGTTGATACAAAATGTACTTACAGATAATACAAAACCAATTATAAACAATTCAAGCTTGACAATTCAATTCCAATTATACATAATTATAAATGGTTGTATATGACAACTTCTAACACGATACGACTTATTTGATCATTCTAAAGTTACAGACAATTGATGTAACATATTTCCGATCGAAGTGGACTATACTATGTGGTGGCTTATGTTTCTTGAACTGATTTGCATGATGAGTGCACATTCTAAACACATAGAAGCCACAGACATGTAATTTTATCTCATTTGTCACTGTCTTGCAGTTTTGCATAAATTCATGAATGGATGAAGGCAATAAATGTCGAACCTATTAATTATTTTTGGCAGAGAACTGTTCTAGACATATATTTTTAAACTCATAACTGTAACGTAAATTTAAAACGGACATAATTACTCGCAATGAACATGCGTCAGATTTTTTAAAGCATAATTCAAATTTCAAATCTCGAGATAATAAATTTTGGAGAGTTCTTATTCTAATTATCCTGACATGTTGTCCAATCGATTACTTAGTCAACTTTTCCTTGTGACCGCTACTACCATGGTCTTTTCCCCTAATTTCCCCTAACTGGATCAAATCAAAGTAGTGTAGACAGTCATTTTCCATGTTTTTTTTTTTTTTCCATTTTCCATGTTAAATGGTCATGACTCCTTGAATGGTTGCATGATATGCGTTAATCATTTGACAATTCAAACGTAGAAAATAGAGAAATTTCCACAATATTTTCCTATATAAACCCTCCATTATGTGCATTACTTCTCATAAAAAATCCAAGTTTTTTATTTTCTCAAATACAAAATGAGGTCGTTTGATATCTCGATTACTCTTTCTTGCCTCATTGTATTAGCAGCCTTTCATTTCTCTCTAGCCCAAAACTCTCCCCAAGACTACCTTAATGCCCACAATGCAGCTCGTTCACAGGTGGGTGTTGGTCCAATGACATGGGACAACAACGTTGCAGCCTATGCACAAAACTATGCTAATCAGAGGATTGGTGACTGCAATCTCGTGCACTCGGGTGGTCAATATGGTGAAAACCTTGCTAAAGCCACTCCCTCCTTGACAGGTACACTGTTTGAGATTTTTGTATAGTGAAATAATCGTTCTCATAAATATAAATAAAATTCTATCGAACCATGTAAATTCTCATGTTCATTGTTTTTTTTTATTTCTTTCATATGTTTGATATTTTACTGCATTGCACGTTCACAATAGGTACCGATGCAGTGAACATGTGGGTTAATGAGAAGAGTAACTTTGACTACAATTCAAACTCTTGTGTTGGTGGAGAGTGTAGGCACTACACTCAGGTGGTTTGGCGCAAATCAGTTCGTCTTGGATGCGCTAGGGTTCGATGCAACGATGGTTGGTGGTTTGTGACTTGCAACTACGATCCCCCGGGCAACTTCGTTGGCGAGCGCCCTTACTAGAGAAACAACTACATATTGCTGGCTCAACTCAACAACTCAACAAAACTTTGTTCCGATTGTTTGAGGTGGCCTGCTTGTTATTAGCCATGAGGGTGTCATCATGAATAAGGCTATGTATTATATATGTACCGAAAATAAAACAATANTGTGATAAAAATTTAAGACTAAGTATAGTATCCCATTGAATAAGAGTGAAATGAATATCATTTTCAATACCATCCAAATCTAATCCTTGAACGAAACATGCCCTCAGAGAAACATGAAAGTAATTAGAAGACTTCCAAGTCTTTGTGGAAAAATGAACACAAGACTAAGAAAACAAAAGTAAACTAGTACTGCCAAACCCATATTTTTGTTGTTTAGTTGCGGATAAATTTTCATTTTCTATGGATCCAATACATGGGGCATAATTATGGGTACCCACCATATTGTCCACTTCTTTTTTTTTTCTTTCTCTGATGACACCGAAAAGGACTCTACGTAAAATGAATGAAAAATTATTTATCACTTATCATATTTTTGTTGTTTAGTTCCTGATAAATTTTTATTTTCTGTGGATCCAATATATGGGGCATAAATATGGGTACCCACCATGTTGTCCACTTCTTTTTTTTTCTTTCTCTAACNTAGGCCATGCTTAATTTTAAGATATGGTTGATAGCAAGAGAATGCTTGGTGGCAAGATCTGACGTCCAACTCAATTAGGTCAATCCATTGTTCGACTTGACGTTATATACCTCACTAATTCATGAAGACATGTGAGATATTAGTACAACCTAATTAGAATCAAATTATAATCACATACAATATTAGTACAACCAAATTTGATTTCTTGAAGGATGATGCAACGGATTTTTGTTTGGATTATTGGTTAAAATTCCAATCTATAGTTTGACTAATCGAATTTTAAATTTGGATCAAATTGAAATTTAATCCATTGATAGATCTATTCTCTCGCAATGTTTACTCAATGACTCCTGTAAGTAATGATCACCACCATCCTCTGGCTCATCAAAAGTCCCTTGTGGTAACTTTCCTTCAAATGCAAAATGGAGATAGGACTGTAAATTGGTTTCATAGTGTTATGTTTTTGAAATATGCAAGTAATGTGATGTTAAAAACTATTCAACTTATTTACAATCCATATATATTATCGGGTTTGTTTTATATTGAGTTCATGTCGTATATAAATTATGTTTAAGTCGGTTTCATACTATATTTACCTAAATTTCTATCAATTTTTTTACTTAATGGTCAAACAAATTCATCTATTTACAATATGAAATTTCTAAGATTAAATTTAATTTCTTATTGATTTCGACTCAAGTAGTGCAAGAAGTTTGAAAGGTTCAAGTCTTCATATTCTACTTGGAATTTTATTGATGGTGTTGGAAATTCATTGCCGTATGATGGCGGTCAGTTGCGAAGGGTTTTGGTCATGCGACGCAAGGGTAAAGTCCAAAACTGTCAAGAGAAGTATAAGTTCGTGGGCAAAATATACTTTAACCCCCGTAATTATGACTCCTACCTCATACTTTCGTCTCAATTGTAGTTAATATGTTTACATTGCCCCGATGACAAACTTGCATTACAAATTACACATAAAAATGTTGGGGTTTAACACTATGTGACATCAATTTATGTGATTGACAAAGTCCTGATGAACTGCGGCCGTAAATATAATGGTTCTAAGATAGTGAAATTTCTTGTTAGGACCCGCACGAAATTTGTAATGATCTGGGCTAGTAAAAGATTAGACATTTTACTCTTGTAAGTCTCCTCCAAACAAGTAAGTTGTATATTCTAAGAAAAAATAGTAGAAATTAAAACGTGCAAGAAACGAAATAGCAATAAAACAGTAAAAATTTAGTTTCCTTCTAGGTAAAATAAAACTAAATACAATAGTAGGCCTTACAGTATTTGACACAATCCGTCAACATGACACGCGATTGATAACAAGATATCGTTTAATCTTAATAAGTTTTAGACCATATTTCAATTGATTTCAAACTCTTTTACTAAATTTGTTGATACAAAATGTACTTACAGATAATACAAAACCAATTATAAACAATTCAAGCTTGACAATTCAATTCCAATTATACATAATTATAAATGGTTGTATATGACAACTTCTAACACGATACGACTTATTTGATCATTCTAAAGTTACAGACAATTGATGTAACATATTTCCGATCGAAGTGGACTATACTATGTGGTGGCTTATGTTTCTTGAACTGATTTGCATGATGAGTGCACATTCTAAACACATAGAAGCCACAGACATGTAATTTTATCTCATTTGTCACTGTCTTGCAGTTTTGCATAAATTCATGAATGGATGAAGGCAATAAATGTCGAACCTATAATTATTTTTGGCCGAGAACTGTTCTAGTCATACATTTTTAAACTCATAACTGTAACGTAAATTCAAAACGGACATAATTACTCACAATGAACATGCGTCAGATTTTTTAAAGCATAATTCAAATTTCAAATCTCGAGATAATAAAATTTGGAGAGTTCTTATTCTAATTATCCTGACATGTTGTCCAATCGATTACTTAGTCAACTTTTCCTTGTGACCGCTACTACCATGGTCTTTTCCCCTAATTTCCCCTAACTGGATCAAATCAAAGTAGTGTAGACAGTCATTTTCCATGTTTTTTTTTTTTTTCCATTTTCCATGTTAAATGGTCATGACTCCTTGAATGGTTGCATGATATGCGTTAATCATTTGACAATTCAAACGTAGAAAATAGAGAAATTTCCACAATATTTTCCTATATAAACCCTCCATTATGTGCATTACTTCTCATAAAAAATCCAAGTTTTTTATTTTCTCAAATACAAAATGAGGTCGTTTGATATCTCGATTACTCTTTCTTGCCTCATTGTATTAGCAGCCTTTCATTTCTCTCTAGCCCAAAACTCTCCCCAAGACTACCTTGATGCCCACAATGCAGCTCGTTCACAGGTGGGTGTTGGTCCAATGACATGGGACAACAACGTTGCAGCCTATGCACAAAACTATGCTAATCAGAGGATTGGTGACTGCAATCTCGTGCACTCGGGTGGTCAATATGGTGAAAACCTTGCTAAAGCCACTCCCTCCTTGACAGGTACACTGTTTGAGATTTTTGTATAGTGAAATAATCGTTCTCATAAATATAAATAAAATTCTATCGAACCATGTAAATTCTCATGTTCATTGTTTTTTTTTATTTCTTTCATATGTTTGATATTTTACTGCATTGCACGTTCACAATAGGTACCGATGCAGTGAACATGTGGGTTAATGAGAAGAGTAACTTTGACTACAATTCAAACTCTTGTGTTGGTGGAGAGTGTAGGCACTACACTCAGGTGGTTTGGANGATGTAACATATTTCCGATCGAAGTGGACTATACTATGTGGTGGCTTATGTTTCTTGAACTGATTTGCATGATGAGTGCNGAAAAGGACTCTACGTAAAATGAATGGAAAATTATTTATCACTTATCTCTTCGAGACTCTTATAGGCCAAGAGTATTGTGCAATGTGTACATCTCTATTTTCAGATTTTATCAAGTATAGGTGGACTTATAATAATGACTCAAAAATATAAGTCAATATCAATATGTTAGAGTATGTGTGGCTCATATTTGCTGTGTGCATAATGACAAGGAGGCAGATGCTGGAGCGGGCGGAGCGTACCAAATCTTTTAGTAAATATTGTTTATTAAATGAACGTGGGTGTGGGATCAGTAGTTCCGACTNCGGGCAACTTCGTTGGCGAGCGCCCTTACTAGAGAAACAACTACATATTGCTGGCTCAACTCAACAACTCAACAAAACTTTGTTCCGATTGTTTGAGGTGGCCTGCTTGTTATTAGCCACNGTCTTGCAGTTTTGCATAAATTCATGAATGGATGAAGGCAATAAATGTCGAACCTATAATTATTTTTGGCCGAGAACTGTTCTAGTCATACATTTTTAAACTCATAACTGTAACGTAAATTCAAAACGGACATAATTACTCACAATGAACATGCGTCAGATTTTTTAAAGCATAATTCAAATTTCAAATCTCGAGATAATAAAANAGTTAATGGGACCTCTAATCCAATGCTCTACATTAATTTGGTAAAAGTTTGATAAGAGTAGCAGTGCACGAAGAACGTTGCCTAACACTTGAATTCAATGGTCTTTTCAAATGCCAGAAACTACTTATGGCACTACTTGAAGTATTGCAATGTGAAGGGCAGAGTTTGGAATCAATAAACTTTAAGGGTGTTAATTAGCATTGTTGTTAAACCACTTTGTTCATCATTTTATCCAATTTCCAGTTACAATAATCATTTGCTATNAATTATATATGAGTAGGTCTCCTAACAATACACGGTGGATAATTTATTTTGAATTTTTTCTTTGTATTATGTTTAAACGTATGCTGTCACCGATTTTTTTTAAAAAAAATTATTTTGAATTTTTTTCTTATATTATTATGTTTAAGCGTACGGTGTTATTGTTTTTTTTTTAANCAATAATCATTTGCTAGCTGCAAACAATTGTCTGTTTTTTTTTTCAATAAATTTTAATTTCAAAAAAGAAAGGATGGTAAATGAATTAATTTCCGTCATTAGTATTTTAACTGAAAAAAGAAGAAGAAGAAAAATACTTCAAAGTAAACAAAGAAATAACATCATCTTCAATTCTTCCTAAAAACAAATTCATTAGATTCCTCTTAATCCTTTTCTATAGTAAAGGAAGAAATTAAACTTACGATTAATCAACGGTAAGGTTATGAGTTTAAACCCGAAAACTTTACGCAAATAATGCTAAAGATTATGCCTCCTAGAACCTAATTTTTTTATTTATTTTTTGGGGACTTGAACCTTTAACTTCAAGAAGACAAAACCTTCACAAGTTAAATGGTACTCCATTAGTCTAGAACCTAGTAAAAGGTGTTATTTTTATAATAACCCTAATCTTTTTCCCGTTTCAATAATAAACATGCATTTTGCATATATTTTATATGGCATCGCTCTTTTTTGAAAAATGAACAAAAGGTACATTGAAAATGGAATGGTTTCTTACCATTTTCCAAGCCATTCAAACCTAAACTTTTAACTCAAGATAATTTAAGTGGTAATAGATATGAGTTATAAATTCAGTCGTTTTGACTTTAAATTTTAATAACCTCTTGAGGCTAGATCATAAGAAATTTATCATTTATGAATACCTTGATTTCAGCGTGGATAACTTGTCTGTGACCAGACTGAAAAGAGAATTAATTGAGATGCGCGTAAATTATTTGAACACCTGTTGAAAAAAAAAACCCTAAACTTTTCACCTATTTCTCTATTAATACCTCTTGCAATATTGCTCATTATTCTTCAATATTTGCATTGCACTGCAGGAAAATAGCAAATTAAATGGGGTGGTGCAAAATTTCACTACATCTTGTTTTTCTGATGGAAAATATTATGCTCACTAAAAAATTTTATCAAAACTTTCACACTAAATGATGTGGCATAATTTCTGTCATTGAATATTAATGAGATCCACTTATTTGATAATAAAAAACTATGTCATATCATTTGAAATGGAGATTTGATAAAAAAATTTGGTAAGTATAGAATTGCCCTTTTCTCATGACCTTAGCTATCTTTCATCCCTGTCATGCCCAAAACTGGCCACGAGACTATCTCAATGATCACAATGTGGCTCGATCCGAGGTGGGCGTCGGTACTATGAGATGGAACTTGACCATAGCTCGCTATGCCTAGAACTATGCAAGAAAGAGGATCGGCGACTGCAGCCTCGCGAATTCCTATGGGGACTTTGGGAAGAACATAGACAGGGAGTCCGACGATTCCTTCACTGGGGTGGTTGCTGTGAACCGGTGGGCTGGGGAGAAGCCTAACTATGACTATAACTCCAACTCTTGTGTTGGGGGACAGTGCAAGCAGTACACTAAGGTGGTGTGGTGTATTTCGATTTGTCTCGGGTGCATTCGGGTTCGATGCAGAAATGGTATGTGATTCGTTATATGTAACTATGATCCACTTGGTAACTATGTTAGACAATGTCCTTATTGAAGATATTTTCTTGATATTGTGCATCGTTTATTGGTGATTATGTACATTTGAGATTTGCGTTAAACAAACAATACTCTAAAAAATATATGATTGAAGACGATTTCTCAGGGTAGAACAAGTGTTTTCTATGTAGTAGTAGAGGTGCACACAAATATGGTAGTAAATAAGAAACGATAGAGAGGAATGGATAATATTGTACTGAACTTCTAAGTCTTAATGTAGCAGTTGTGGTTGAATAAACGTACTCCATCTTTTTATTCTTCTTTCTTTCTTGCTTGCTTCTCCAATTAATATAGCCGATCCATCGATGGATCATCAGGCATTGCATCTGGATTTTTTCCAACATATTTTTTTATTCAATTTTTCATTCAATCATAGATTAATAATCTAGGATTCTATCGGGCCCATAGTGGAGGTTGTGGTGTCGATTATCAACTCGTAGGCATTGAAATGCATCAATCGTGGAGTTAAAGAAATGAGATCGGGTGATACACATGTAATGTTAGATAAAAAAAAACGGTCGATAAAAAATTCAAATTATATCGTGGTGTTACAAAAGAACATCTTAGTGTCATGAAACAATGATTTGGACAACGGGGTCACATCATCCGATATGGCTCCTAGTGCACCATGAATCGAACGAGAACAGTGATATATACGACTTGGGGAATCATATTGACCTCAAATGATACTTTAAATTGATGCCTACTAAGATAATTTAACGTTCAGGTGTATTATGTCGGCCACCGGTACCTGTTTGCAACTCAAAATTACAACGATTGTACATTGAAGGAAAGTCCAATAACTTTACTATGCTGGCTTTTCTTCCTAATTCTAATTTTAGTACTTTATATTTTTTATTGATAATTTTTTGGAACAAGTATCTATTTTAAAAGTAAATTAAGAAAGCCCGTTTAAGGCCCGTTAAAGGTCTGTTGGGCTAACCTTTGGGCTTTCTGTGGGCTTGGGTATTTTTTAGCACAGATATTTGGTTGTAGATATTTTTTGTAGGACTTATTCGAAGTTAAATACTATAACCAAATTTATATTCTATTAAGTTCTCTTTTACATAAAATTATTGTCATTAAATACACATTTTAAATTCTTTTTTTTTGTATTACCTCATTACCCATATTATAAATACTGGCTATTATTAATAATTTCAATATTTTTAAATATAACAATTTTTAACTTGTGAATTATGCTAGTATTAAAATTATTTTTCTATCATAATATAAAATAGGATAGGTTTCACTAAGCCCTTTTGACGGTCTTAATTAGATTCATGCAACGATTACCAATATCCCTCTTAAATTCATTCGCATTGTACCGTGTTTACAGACACAGATTACCCATAATATATACATACTAGTCATAACCCGTGCCCGAAGACACGATAAAATATAAAATTCGAATGTCTAAAAAATCGATTCCACTATATTAAAATTTTTCAAAATATATTAACAATAAATTAATTAAATATTAAATGATTAAATATATAATAGAAATGAGTAGTGTGATATTTTTAGGGAGGAATTATATAAATGATTAAATATGTGATAAAAATGAGTGATGTGATTTGACATTTGAGTCTGAGAAATGGATGATAGGTGAGGTAAGTGATTAATGATGGTTTTGAGGGAAAAATATAATTGGGATAAAATTCAAACATACTCCCGTTTTATTATATTATATTACTAGTCATAATCCGTATCTGAAGACACGATAAAATATAAAAGTCGAGCGTCCATAAAATCGATCCCATTATATTAATTTTTTTTAAAATATATTAACTATAAATTAATCAAATATTAAATGATTAAATATATGATAGAAATGAGTTATGTGATATTTTTAGAGAAGAAATACATAAATAATTAAACATATGATAGAAATAAGTGATGCGATTTGATGTTTGAATCTGACAAAGAGATAATGAGTGAGATAAATGATTGATGATAGTTTTGATAGAAAAAATATGACTGAAATAAAATTCAAATATACTTATGTTTTATTTTATATATATATATATATATATATATATATATATATATGATGTCACTCTATTATAATAATGGGTTAATCTTATTTTGCACCCCGAAAGATTGTTCGAATCTCAATTTACACCCTCAAAGATCAAAAATCTCAATTTACACCCTCAAAGATAGAAATTTGTATCAATGTGCACCCCCAAAGATCAAAAATCTCAATTTGCACCCTCAAAGATAGAAATTTATATCAATGTGTACCCCAAAGATAAAAAATCTCAATTTGCACTCTCAAAGATAGAAATTTGTATCAATGTGCACCTAAAATTAAATTGATAAATTATACCTAAATTCCCTTATATTTGTCGGTTAATCATTTAGACCTCTTCACATTTAAAATATTACTCCTACATCTTATGACATTTGTGCACGTATAACACGTAACTCATTTTCATTGATATCTATTAATATAACCGTTAAAAAATATAATTTTATCCTAATAAAA